CCTCAGCTTCAGCTTGAACTTGCATATGAGTAGTTGGTGGTCTGTTCCACAATCAGCGCCTGGCCTAGTTTTCACAGCTGATACTGAGCTTCTCCAGGGTTTTTTTCCACAGATGTAATTGATCTGATTCCTATGCATACCATCAGGTGAAATCCATGTGTATAACCTGCGTTTATGTCTCTTAAAAAACATGTTTGCAATGAATAAGTCATTGATTGTGTAAAATTCAATCATTCTAGCTCCAGCTTCATTTCTATCACCATGTCCATGTTTTCCAACTACTGATTCTTCTTCTCTGTTCCCGACTTTTGCGTTGCAGTCAGAGATAGATCGAACATGCAGTCAAGATGCATTGATAATAATGGGCAACTGGCAAGTTAAATTTAGGCTCCTATTAAAAATGGCTTAAATGGTAATGCAGATTTGGGTCAGTAAGTGTTTATTGAATGAATTGTAGTTCTAAAATGAATGAAAACTTCAACCCCAGCCCATGGTGAGGTAGTCAGACACCCCAGGACTTTCTGATACTTGGCTGACATGGAGAGGTGCTGTAGAAAAAGCCTGGCCAGGCTGCTGGAGCTGTCCACATTCAGACACCTGGGAGGTGCCCCCAGGAAAGTTACATTTAAAGAATTTGAACAGGTGGTAAGAAGAGAAAGGAATTATTGGCATAGAACGATAGAATTCAACTTTGGAGACTACGCATGCATTCCTGTCATTCCTGAATCCAACAGAAAAGGTTTTGACACCTGGACAGTGCAGTGCATATAGCAGCCACTATGTGTCAACACCAGATGGTGCAGGTCAGATGGCAGCCACCAGGGGTGCAGATCACATGGCACACACAGTGTTACCAACACTAGACGGTGCAGCGAAGAAACTCCACTGGGAAGTAACTTTTCATTAAAAATGTCTTCTATTACTCCAGGCTTATTAGATACTTCCCTTGAATGTCCCCTCTGTGCAATAACAATACCTGTGTTTACCCAGTGTGTAGCAGAGAAGGCTTTGGTTTTCTCTGGTCTGTTTTTTGAGTAGCTCCCTGATGGTGTGCCAGTGTGCTGGACTCTGATCCTCTTTCTGGTGGGCTGCAGTCCAGAGTGAGCTGGCACTGCCAGTCCACAGGCCCTGAGCCTCCAGCAGTTAAGGTTCACCAGCAACTCCTCAAGAGCAGTAGTCCTGCCAACCCAATGGAGGGTCACCGTGAGTCAGTACTGAGGTGATGGCAGTGAGTTTTTAGTGAGTTAATGTGTCTTGGTGGCACTTGGTTACAGCACACACTGCTGCTAACCGACAAGTCAGTGGTTCACTTTAGCAGCACACAGTCTTGTCCTATTCGCTCCCACCCCGTAGTTACCGTACCTACCCTACCACTTACCACAGACCCAAGCTTTAGGAGTCTTTACCGCACGGTGGTCACGCACTTGGTAGCAGACCAGAAAGTGTGATGGTTCAAACGTGTGGAGCAGTTTAGTTTGCCTGTGTGGTAGCTATGAGTTGGAATCACTAGAGGGCTGTGGATTTGCTTTGGTTATTATGTTAGTAGCCCTCGTACAAAATGACTGTCTACGTCATTAAGAATTCCTTCACAATGTTCAATTCCTCAGAGAAAAATTAGTTACATAGTGAAACCTTTGGTCAGATCTGATCCAGTGGTTGTTCATCCTAATATTTGATGACATGACTAAGATTTAGAAGAGTGGCAATCAGAACACTTAATTGTGTTCATATGAAAACTATGCTTAGACCAAAGGTCTAAGCAAACACAGCAGGGGGACACTGCATGGTTTAAAAGTATGTGTCAGGATTGTATCCTTTCTTCATACCTTTTCAGTTTGTATGCCAAACGAATCATTTGAGACCCAAATTTTATGAAGAAGAATTTGGCATCAGGATTGACGGGAGACTCAGCTACGATTTGTGTTATGCAGATGACACAACCTTACTTGCTGAAAATGAAGAGGACTTGAAACACTTGCTTCAGAGGATCAAAGACTACAGCCTTGAATATGAATTATACTCAGGAAGACAGAAATCCTCACCACTGGGCTGATAGGCAACATCACGATAGATGGAGAAAAGATTGAAGTTACAGTGATTTCATCTTGCTTAGATCCACAGTCAGTGCCTTTGGCACCAGCAGTCAAGAAATCAAAAGACATTGCATCAGGTAAATCTGCTGTCAAGGACATCTCCAAAGGGTTAAGCAGTGGTGATGTCAGTTTAAAGACCAAAGCACACCTGATTCAAGCCATAGTCTTTTCAGTTTCTGTGAGTCTGAAAGTTGAACAGTGACTAAAGGTGACAGAAGAGTTGATGCCTTTGAGTTGTGGGGTTGGAGAATAATTCAGAATTTCCCACAGACTGCCAAAAAGAACAAATATGTCTTGGAGATAGTACAACCAGGGTGCCCCTTGGATGGTGAAACGTTGCATTACATACTTTGGACATATTGTTAGGAGGGATCAGTCTTTGGAAAGGAACATCATGCTTGAGAAGGTGGAGGGTCAATGAAGAAGATGGATTGACCCAGTGACTGCTGCTGTGAGCTCAAGGATGACAGAGATGACGAAGATGGAAAGAAGGAGGAGGAAAGGAAAGAATTCAGGTCTGTTGTTCATAGGGTTGTATGAGTTGGCTTGACAGTATCTAACAACACAAGTAACTGAATGTCTGAGGGGATGGTGGCCTGTCACCTGTCAGCAGTTCATGTAAGCAGTTCCAGCTCCCTAGTGTCTCCTTGGGAGAAAGCGGTGGCAGTCTGATTCTGGGCAGATTTTGGCCTGGAGAACCCTCGGCGGCAGTTCTTGGTCTTGTAGATCTGTCTCTCTGAGCCCAGATCAGTTCCACAGCAGTGGCTGGGCTTGGTTTTGATTATGGCTTTTAAAAAAAATTATCGTGTGTTGACATGGGAAGAGCGTTGATGAAATCACAAGGCTTGTTTATTCTGGTGCTGGACTTGGAGGCCTGGCTCTAGTGTTCTGGCACCGTTTTCTTGGCTGTGCTAGTTATTATGAGTAAAGCAGCGCCTTTATCCATGAATCTGTGTGAACGTGGAGAGGCCAGTTGAGCCTCTCTTTTCCTTTCTGTATTCACATCCTGAGTCTGAACATTTCTTCTCAACTCTGTGCCAAGTATTCACCAAGTTACTTGTATCTTTTATTTGGTTTCAGTTAAGACTTTTGGAAACTAAAACTGCCCAAGAAAAAGGGGGGAGGGGAATTGTTCCAAATTCTCATTGTTTTTCACACTGCACATGTCACTCCTCCAAGGGTTGTAATGGAAGATTTAGGGGGCACGATTGCATTGTTTGCCTGCTAGTGCCTTCAGGCACCCACACCTTCAATGAAACCCCGTTGTTAATGAGGGTACCAGGGCGTTCAGTGTGCTTTCTACCACCCTCCAGTTCCTAAATAGTAGTATGTGTGCATGGGGTGGTGTTGGAGAGGAGAACAGTGTCAGCCACTGCCCAGTGTGGCCGTGTGACCAGTCAGTTCTGGATCACAGACACAGCCTTGTGTGGCACTTGCTGAGATGAGATGCTCTGTTGACGTCCTGTGAGGGGGGGTGGCGTGTAGGAAGTCTCTCACCTCAGTACTGGTGTGCAGCTTTGTCTTGCTGTCTGCTCACTGGGTGTCTCTGTTTCTCTTCCAGCTCTCCTAGGCTTCCCTTTGCTCTGAAAACAGGCCTCTTTCCTGTTCCCTCTTAATCCGTGCTCACTAAATTCTGAAGGAATGGGGACGTGTTCCTTTATCGAGAGAGATCAGTGAGAGGAACAGACATAGGATGATGACTGTAAATAAGCTCACATTTGATAGGAAACTGCCTAGTCCAGTTTTCCAGTAGGCTTGTGAAGGGAGGGTGAGAGTCAGCAGTAGTTTTGGCAAAGACAGTGTCTTGACCTCAAAGTATGAAAGCTCAAGTCTGTTTGACTTTAGATGGCCTTGGCCTTAGTAAGAGGAACCTTGGTGATCCAGTGGTTAAAGTGCTTTGCTGCCAGCTAAAAGGTCAGCAGTTTGAACCCAGCAACCACTCCTTGAGCTAAAGATGTGTCCGTGTGCTTCTGAAAAGACAGCCTGTGTAGCAGGGTCTGCACTAGTAATGGGGTTAGGTTTGGCTCTAGCAAGGCCATCGTGGTGGGTGTGATTAATTCTATCCCTCATGCTCAAAAAGTAAAAAGCAGAATGTAATCAGTCTACCTGTAACCCTCTAATTGCCAGTGAAACAGCCTTTGATCTAAAAGTCCATTCAGGTTGAAGCTGTGAGGCTCTTCGGTCAGTATGCCTTAGAGCCTGATGGGCCTTTGAATGAAAAGGTCGACACTGCTGCCCCTGCACCTTCACTGGGAGGGGGGTGTCACTGACCTCCTTGGCCGAGGCTCTGCAGAGGCCAGGCCTTCTCACCTGAAGAGTTTCTTGTATGTGTTACATTTTTATTTTATCAAACTGCAGGCTATCCTTTCCTCTGACACGCCTGCCTTCCCAAGTGAGGCAGCCTGTGAGCATCACAGCCTGTGTCAGAGGGCGTTGTGTTGTATCCTCATCGTAGGTCAAGTTCTCGGGCTGCACGCAGTAGAAAAGTAAAGGCACATCTTTTCTCCTCTGGGTTCTTGTCTCTGCAGGTGGAGCAGTTCTGGAGGTTCTACAGCCACATGGTACGTCCTGGGGACCTGACAGGCCACAGTGACTTCCATCTCTTCAAAGAAGGAATTAAGCCCATGTGGGAGGTGAGCCGTGAGGGACCTAATCCTGGCCTGGGGAAGGTTTCTGTTGTTATGTATGGTTCACCTTGTCAAGGCAGTCAATATTCTAACAGCTTTGCTCAGACTTGCTTCACCGTGTGCCCTAGGAAGCCGACCTTACAGGGGGAGGCACCACTGCTGGGTTCTGGGCGTGGGGGCTACTGATTTTTAAAGATTATTTTATTGCTGATAATGGTATTAAAATGACATTAAGTAGTGCCGTTTTTAAAATAATTTTTCTTTCTGAAGAACTTTTTGTGTGTATAAAATTAGAATCTATAAGAAAAAAATTGTACATGGTACAAAGCTAAACCCATTCATCAATCAAATCAATGCCAGCTCCCAACGACCCCGCAGGATGGTGTAGGCTCGCCGCCTCGAGCTTCCCAGGCTGCACTCTACGGACGGGAACTGCCGTGACATTTTCCACGGAGTAGCTGGGGGTTGGAACTACCAGTCTTTGATGAGCAGCCAAGCGCTTACTCACTGTGCCACCAGGGCTGCTTTTACTTCATATTCTTTCTCCTGGCAGTGGAGTCAGAACTGGCTTGTAGCAGACACCGCAGTGACGTTTCTGAGATCGTACGTTGCACAGGAGATTGCCCATCTTTCTCCTGTGGAATAACTGCATTCAAGCCGTCAGTCGCCACCTTTGGCTAGTGTGGCTACCTACAGATTACACCACTAGCGTTCCCTTTACTTGGTACTAATTATGGGGGGTTTTGGGGTTTTTTATGAGACATTGCAATGAATTAATTGATCAATTGTAAACAATGTTACAGAACAATATAGATGATTGAATGGGTGCTCATTGTTTCAGAAGCTGATAGGAGCCAAAAGTGAGCTCTAGTGTCCCTGCAGAGCCGTTAGCTAGTTGTGGTCAGCTGGTGTCTGTCTTCTGCCCTCATCCAGGGTATTGCATTAGAAGACTGATGTGATCACTTGCCCTCCCAATGAAACCTTTAGCTCACTGGCTCCGACCCACCCATCATCTGTGTGTCTTTTCTCTCCGCGTTGGTGCTCAGATGTGTTATTTATACACCCATACAACCTCTGCTGCACTGGGAGTGGCAGAGATGGTGGCTTCTCGCCTGCACTTGGTACATGGAGACAGGAGGCAGTAAGAGATGAAGTAGTGAGCAGACTGAAATCCAGTGTGTTTAGTTTTGATTCCTCTGAGAGTTGTGCAGGAGAGAGGGTTAGCTTTCAGGACCTGGTTATCCTTTAGGTTTGTAACCAGGTCCCTGCCTGCCTTTCTTTGCTTGGTTTTTTTTCTTTTTCATTTCTTCTCTCATTACTCCTGCCTACTTTGCACCATTTTCCTTGAAAAGTTGAATAACTGGAAATAACAAAACTTCTTAGTATTTAAGTGATTTTTGGCACTAAAAATCTTGCCCTAACTACACAAGAAGTCCTTTTGGCACGTTAGTTACACACTCAGCTGCAGACCAAAAAGTCAGCACTTTATACCCCCAGCCACTCTCTGGGAGAAAGGGAGGCAGTCTGTTTTAGTAAAGATTTCCAGCCTTGGAAATCTGAGGGAGCCAGTTTTTCTCTGTCTTGCAAAGTCACCGAAAGCTGGAATCCGCTCTGTGCAGTGGGGTTTAGGAAACTACAGAAGAGAAAGCTTTGTGTTTTCGGCTTAGTACTTTCTCTCTCTCTACAGGATGATGCAAATAAAAATGGTGGCAAGTGGATCATCCGACTACGGAAGGGCTTGGCCTCCCGTTGCTGGGAGAACCTCATCCTGGCCATGTTGGGGGAACAGTTCATGGTTGGGGAGGAGATCTGCGGGGCTGTGGTCTCTGTCCGGTTTCAGGTAAGCCCCCCAGCCAGAAATACTTCTGGTGCTGTCTCTGCTCTGTGCCCGCCTCCATCGTGCTGTGATGACTCTTCTGTCCCATGTAGGAGGACATTATCTCAATATGGAACAAGACTGCCAGTGACCAAGCAACCACAGCCCGAATCCGGGACACACTTCGGCGAGTGCTTAACCTACCTCCCAACACCATTATGGAATACAAAACCCACACCGACAGCATCAAGTACGTGCTGGGGGGACCCGGGCGGGCTGTCCCTGAGCTCAGCAGAAGTAGGTCCATAGTTGGGCCCAGAGGAGCTTGATCGGGCAGGAGACTGACTGGTGGAGAAGCAACAGGTCTCTCACCCTCTAGTGCTTCCAGCCATTTGGAGCAGTTCTGTCAGTGAGACTCCGTCCACCATACCCCGGCGGGCTCGCTGTGTCTGTACAGGCTGTCTCGTCCTACACTCACTCACCCCTGTCTGAAGTGAAAGACCAAGCCCTCTTCTTTCCTTTGCTGTTTTTAAGAGAATTCCCTGCCCTCTCCTCACCCGCTTCTGCATGTCTTCTGAGCTGCCAGCTTCTGTCTGTTTTCTTTGTTGGGGGAACTGACTCTTTAGGAGGAATGATAGCCCCGTTTGTTCATGGGTAGAGCAGGGACTGTAGGGAAGCAGAGCAGTATGTATAGGAGAACAGAGGACAGTGGAGATGGAGGTGTGAGTGACACAGGGAACGCCACTCAGCATCTCCCTAGGACGCCAGGAGGGAGTCACTGGCCCAGCTGGCACGTGCAGTGATGGACAGCAGCAGTGAGGGAGGGGCTCTGGTGGACAGTCGTGAGAGGTGACTGGAGTAGGTCAGGGCGTGTGGGTCCCTCTTCTGACCCTGATCACAGGCTGTACCTGTGGTAGGACTCACCTGCTCTGTGTTAGTTCTCCCTCTATAAAATGGGGGACAGGAAGACTTGCAGGGCTGCGGTTAGGCCAGAGTGGTCTCAGTGTGGATTGGCCTTCCTCAGAGGGAGAAGGGCCAAATACTGTTATGAGTGTCCTCTTGATGATTAGTAATAATGTAATCATTGGGTTCTTATTAAAGACGAGAGCATAATGATTGGGTGCAGCAGGCAGCGTTGGGAATATCCTGTCCTGCACTTTCTCAGATGCTGTGGGTGGGGCTGGCTTAACCAGCTGAGTGCCAGTTGTCACTGGGAACGCTGCCATCACAGTGGGTCATAGTCATGGCTGGGTGTGACTCGTCCTCGCCACTGGCTCTCGGCAGCCAGCCGTGACTGCTCGCCGTAGCAGGCCTGAGTGACACTCTTTTCCTGGCTGGTTTTCCTTACGCTTGCTCTAGCAGAGTGGTTTCTGCCCTGCATCCAGACCCAGTCCAGGCTGGAGAGAGCCTCGCCCAGTTTGTCTGGGGTTCTTCCTGTTGAGATTCCCAAATGGCACTTTCCCGAAAAGCCAGGCTCTTCTTCGCTGTAGGAAAGGGGAGGAGGTATTGTTCATCACCTTTCCCCTCTTCTCTCTTCTCCTTTCTCACACCCTGAGGCAGTTATTCCTGAACTTTGTAGAAACATGTGCCCCAGTCAAGGAGAACTGGAGGGATTCCCCCAGTCAGCTGGCAAGAATGGCCCTCTGCCCTGCTCTAGGAGGGGTCTGCCTGCAGTCATCGGCCCCTAGGGACCAGGAGCCTCCTGGGGACCCAACTGCTCCTTTCCCTTGCATCACCCTCTTTCCTCCCCCAATGTGCCAACCTTTTACACCCCCACTAGAATGCCAGGCAGGCTGGGCCCCCAAAGGCTCCTTTTTCAAAACCTCTGGAAGACGCGGGTGAATGTGCCGTGACCCTGTCCCTTTCTGGATGGCACCGTCACTGAAGCTGGCACCATCGGAGTCTCTTGTCTTGTTGGCGCGCTACCCGGAAGAGCCTTCTGTCCTGGACAAGAGGAGCTGGAAGAGCATTTGATGTTTTAAGAACAGGCTGACACGCAGCAGCTACAACCACTGCTGAAATCTCTTAATAAATGGTGCTAAACTGCCTTGTCTCCTGCTCTTGCTCTTTGTGGTGCAGCCAAGAAGTGGCCTTTCAGTTGCCTGTCAGCATGTGAAGGGATGGCCCAGACTTCTCGGTGCAGGGCCATCCAGGGATCACAGTCTCACTTCCATATGCCCATTGTCCAGCATCACATTCGAGAGTGACTGAGGGCGGACGTAATTCGGTGACCCTCTGCTCTCACAAGACCCCCCTTTTCTTGAACTTGATCTCCCCTCTAGTCAGGCTCCTGACAAGAACAGTGTTGATTGAGGATTCAGCTGCAGCCTTGGCTCAAGTTGGAGAGGGGGATCCTTGCCTTTGCTTTGCTGACTTTCCTGTTGACCTTTCCTTCCCAAAATCTCTTGCTTGGCATAAACCCCTGCTCCCGCCTGGATAGAGCTGTGTGTGTCCAGCTACCTTGCTTTATGCTAGCAGAGTTCCTCACTGGGGCCAAAGCCACAAGCTCTTTGCCAGCCTTTTCCCTTTGCTTTCCCTCCAGAGCCAGGTCCTCTTCCTCTTGGTGCCAGCCCCGCTTGCCCGGTCACAGACACAGCCCCTGTCAGTCACTCTCCCCAGCCCCAGCCTGTGCATCGGGGCCAGGTGGGAAGAGGCCTGCGAACTGTAACCACTGGCTCCTGGGATACCTGACCAGAGCACACTTGGCTTCTCACCTGCTTTGTAGCTTTGATGTATATGTCCTGCACTTGGCGTTGAGGCACCCTCTGCCTCCTCATGTAGAGGTGAACCAAGCCTCATGTTCTTCAATATTTCCTTAGATGCCACCGTGAAAACCAGAGGATTTTAGAGACTTTGGTCTGGTTGCCTGAGAGCGTTGGTGGCCGGGGATCAGTGTTGGGTTTCCCCAAGTGGCCTTTCTGCGGGGGCAGTGCCTTCTCTGCTCATCTCCTGCCTCCCCACCAGGGTCCTGCAGAATATTTTGAGACCATGTCCTTGCTGCTTCGTTTACTGCTTACCCAGAATTGGTCCAAGTACCAAGAACATGGAGGTTCACTGGAAGTGGAAAGGCCCTTTCTCTGTTTTCAGCCGTTGTCAAAAAGCTGCCTTCTGTTGGGCCTCTTCCTCTTGACTTCCATGATTATGACCACAGGGTGACCTTCATTCCCACTGTATTTGTAATTAGTCCTGAGGCTGATAGCGCCTTCCAGGTGGAGGCTGGCTCCGAACCATCACCCTAACCAGTCACACATGACAAGTTGGTGGGATCTGTCCTGTTCCACTCCTTGTGGTTCTTCAAAGGGTGACTTGAGGAGTCCCAGGAAAATGAAGAAAGGAAGACGCACCAGTGCATTGTTCTCCCCGAGTAGTAACGGTTAGGATTTGATTGTGGAGCTGGCGCGAGAGAATGTTCTAGGAGTGGCTTAGGCTTCTCAGTCAAGTGGTCCTGCTAGTGTTCCTGTGTGCGCCCATTCCCGTTCCCATTAGCCCTGGCCTCCCTGCCACTGCTCTGGCCTCTCCTGCTGCACTCCTTGGGAGCTGAGAACATGCTGCTGCGCCGGCTGAGTGACGTGTCCCTCTCCCGCTCTGAGCTTTGCCTGCTGGCCTCTGCCCTTGTTTCTTGTCAGCACATCCCCACCTGAGGGTGAACAAGGGCCCTGGAAAACCATCCCAGGTCCACATGCAGTTCTCAGGGGTTTGGGTCCTGGTGACCAGAAGTGCCTTATCACCATCTCCAGCCTGAGGTGTCTCACTCCCTGACCAGCTATGCAGCCCAGGGTAGACCACCAGGTCCAGAGTGGGGACAGGCAAGTCGCAGCAGTGTCTAGTGAGGACACCTTCTAGGAATGACCCCAATATCCTCTGTGCCGATAAAATGAATCCAAAGCTATGTTTTAACAAGCTCCCAGGTGATTCTTAGATCCCCAGAAGGTTTAGTGTGTACATAGGAATGTTCCGATGAGGATCTTGTTAAAATGTACCTTCTGATTCAAGATATCTGGCCTGGAAAGGCTGATCTCCAGTGCACAGTCAGACTGTAGTTTAAACACTGAACTTCATAAGCAAGGGGACTGTCCTGGCGTGGGTGTAGCCACCAGCAAGGTTGCTGCTCTGGCTTTGTGTTTCAGAAATGTGCCCCATCCTCCTACCCTGTTCAGAACAGAGCCTGGGTGAGAAGGGGGCTGCGCTGTAGGTCACTGAGGGCAGTGGGATGTAAGTCTGAGAACTAGGCTGGGATGAGGGTAAGGAAAACAGCCCATAGTGGAGACCTCGAGCTCTCAGAACTTCCCTACTGGGAAGTGACATGGGACAGGACTGATCTCTGAAGGGCCTTTTCAGTCTGTTCACACAGCTATTTTCATCTCAGGATCATTTTATTCTTTTCAAAACCTCTGCCATAGAATGCTTTTAGTATTCAGCTGCTTCTTAGATTTTAATAGAAGAGTGTAGTAATACTACTTACTAGGCCTGCCCTGCCACATTGCTCTAGGCAGCAGGTTTGCCACTGTAGCTAAGCTGTTGGCTTCTGAGAGTAAGAATGTACAGAAGAGGATAAGGGATTTTCTTTCTACCAAATACATGAAATGGAATTAGACAAGAGTCTTCACGGTCAGGCACAGCCATGAGTACAGCACTGCTGAGGAAACTGGGAGGGGACTGTCCAGCACAGGTGTGGACTGGACAGATGCTCCGAAGCGCTGCAGCAGGTCCTTGGCACAGAGAACTGCTCTGTTTGGGCCAGAGTCAGTACGGGAAAATGAGAGGAAAGTGCAGCAGAGCCGGGTCATTTTTGGACACCAAGCTTGTTTGAAATCTGAGAAAGGGCCTTTGCCCAGGGATCAGAGTTTGCCTTGCCCTTAATTTCATTTGGAGCAGAGTGGGATTGCCCTCTCTTGCAAAGGCTGGGGAACACTCTTGTTATGGAAGCTAAGTTGGTGGATTGTGACATACCTGTGTGACGCTCTCACATTTTGTCCATTGATTGTCACCTATAAGTGATGCTGTGAAGAAAAAAGCACGGACCACACATATTCTCAGTCTAGGAGGTAGATCACTAGCTCCTCAGTGCTGCTGTGCAGAGGCAGGAAATACTGATGGCCTGAGCGTCCACAGCAGGCCAAGTCTCTGTAATGTGTCCTTATTGAGGGCAGAGGAGTCCCGATGGTGCAGGGGTTAACAACTTGACTGATAACTGAGAGGTCAGTGGTATGAACCCACCATGGAGAAGCAGTGGGGCCATCTGCTTCGGTAATCATCGCCTTGGAACCCTGCTGGAGGCAGTTCCGCTCTGTCCCCAGGGTTACCGTGAGTCAGAATGTATCCAGATGCAGCTGGCTTAGTTTGGTATAGAGAGAAGGAAAGAGAAGTTCTCTATAGCAGGCCTGGTAATGACAGCTTTTAGCAGCCTTCTATGGGACCTGCAGTGAGTGAGACAGGGATTGTCACGGGGGTGCTGTGCCATCCCAAGAGTAATTGACAGTGAGAAACATTCATTTTAAAAGTACCAGATTACCTCCATTTTATATTTTATTCCCAGGGGGCTTACTGATAAAAGAAATGGGGCTGAGAAGAGCCAAGGGCAGAGGGGTAGCAGATGAGCTCCCCTGAGACACTTGAGGTGGGTGGGGCCTCCAGGGCTCTCCTTTCTCCTGTTGCTCACCCCTCGGAGCACCCTGAGACACCACCCACCCCTTCAGTATGTTTCTTTCTAATCCTCATTTCCAAGAGCTTGAGATCCTGACTTAATAAGCACGAAGGCTGCAGTGAACCTCGTTCCTGGGAAATGGGACCGGCTAACGCCCACACCACTGCAGCACTGAGAGTAGTTGCTTTGGGTCTTTTCAGAGCCAGGTGGGACGTGATGGAGACTGCGGTCCAAGCCCAGAAGCCTTAGGAGGTGGGGAGCATGAAAGCAGAGAGAGTGGTACTGCCTAATGGCATCTCAGGCATCCTGTAGCTGTTGGGCCCCGCCTGGAACCTCATGGTAGCCTGACAAAGATGCTTTTCACTTCCAATCTGCTGATGCCCAAAGCCAATGGCCTGGTGCCTCTATCTTCATAAATGGGAGGTGTTCTGGAATAACAATTTGTCTTTTTTTTTTCTTTCTTTTTTTAAATTTTTATTATTTTTGTGTGAGTGTACCGTCAAATCAGATCTGACTGGTATAGGAGGAGATTGTCCCTCCTTCCCCGGCAGAGCATCTGGTGGATTCGAACCGTGCGCCTCTGGGATTGTAGTTGCAGCTCCTTGCCACTAGGCCACCAGAGCTCCCCTGGAATGACAATTTGAACCTCACCTTTTGGAGCCTCATGGCTGCGTGGTTCTGAAAGTACAGTTGCAAGTGCTCGGGGCACAGGGAGGGCCTGCCCTGGTTAGTGGAACGAGCCAGAAGTGTCACTGAGCCCCCGGATCGCGCTGGCTGCCCACCTGCTGGGAGGACACTAAACAGACAGACTTAGCTGCGTATTTGCGGGTATCTGGGGGCCCCACTGGACTTGGAGGGTATATGAAACGGGATGTGGGTTATCGTGTCTCCTCTCCATTGAAAGCTTTTGACCTGAATGTGCTATTGTGTTTTTTGTCTCTGGTTTGCCAGGGCCTGGGAGGAGTTTCATGGCCTGGTGAACAGCAGCGGCCGCTGATCGGACGCTCCCCCTCTGTCTCTCACACTCAGGGTAGGGCCTGTATATCTTCTCTGTAACCCCATGATATGCCTCTCAGCCGTAGAACCCCACCCCTGGCAGGTGTCCTTTCCTGCCCGCCCAGCCTGACCTCAACTGAAGTCCGAGCCAGATCCAGAGAAGGCCCTGAGTCCTGGGCCAGCTGACGGGGAGCCCCCGGGAGGCTCAACTAG